GATATCAACACTACTACTATTACTAAGTACTACGACCACGAACCATTATTATAATTACGACCACCGATACAGCTACTGAGTATTCGTATCAAGTAGTACCACTAAGCGTTACTCGTACTACTGCTACTACTAAGTCGTACTACAACTAAATACGACTAGTACTAAGGAGCGGTATCCCGAAGTACTAATAAATATTATCGTTCTAATAGGAATGACAATTACCAATACTACTACTACTAGATAATGGTAGTTGTTATTGAACTCAGTCAGACTAATAATATACAAACGATTATCAGGAAACATAGTTTTCGTACCCACACGCATATCGCTATTGTTACCACAGCACTACTTCTATCACCGAAACTGTTGAAAATCGTACTAACGCACTTATTAATCCAAAGACAAAGGGACGATTGTATTAAAGAACAAACCGAACTGCACCAGATAGCGCGCCGGTATCTGGTGCACCCGCTCTGCGCGAAATATAATTCACAACAGTGATATGTTCCTGCAAAAAACATGTAGTTTTTGAAGATCTGGCGAGCAAGTTGTAAACCGACTCTGTCATTTCAGAGACGAAATGATGGTTCTCTTAAAAGGAAATAACACGTGAAGTCTCTGGCGTCCAAATCGTTCTAACTCAAATGTATTGCGCGCTACTTGCCGCTCGCTGCCGAAACGCCAGATACACGCATATTGTTTTTGTCACCACAGTACTACTTCTATCACCGAAACTGTTGAAAATCATACTAATGCACTTATTAATCTAAAGACAAATGGACGATTGTATTAAAGAACAAACCGAACTGCACCAGATAGCGCGCCGGTATCTGGTGCACCCGCTCTGCGCGAAATATAATTCACAACAGTGATGTGTTCGTGCGAAAAGCATATTGTTTTTGAAGGTCTGGCGAGCAAGTTGTAAACCGACTCTGTCATTTCAGACAGGAAATGATGTTTCTCTTAAAAGGGAATAGCACATGAACTCGCTGGCGTCCAAATCTTTCTAGCTCAAGTGTATTGCGCGCTGCTTGCCGCTCGCTGCTGAAACGCCAGATACACGCATATTGTTATTGTTACCACAGTACTACTTCTATCACCGAAACTGTTGAAAAGTCGTACTAATGCATTTAATAATCCAAAGACAAAGGGACGATTGTATTAAAGAACAAACCGAACTGCACCAGATAGCGCGCCGGTATCTGGTGCACCCGCTCTGCGTGAAATATAACTCACAACAGTGTTATGTTCCTGCGAAAAGCATATTGTTTTTGAAGATCTGGCGAGCAAGTTGTAAACTGACTCAGTCATTTCATAGACGAAGAGATGTTTCTCTTAATGTATTGCATATATAGCTGCTGCAGAAAGGTTCAAGATTTGGCCGTTTCTCTCCAGAGTAAAATGAACACCCAAGGTAACGAGTACTAGTGTTATTAATATATTTCGTATGTAGCTTATATGCGTTGATTAATTGATCAATGTTACTTTGTTACGATGCCATTGCGCCCACAGCTGCAAAGACGTGGCTCGAGTCTCGAAATCTTTGATTTCATACGTTCATACGCAATGGCGTATGACTTCGCTTACCTGGAGGGAGGCGCCGTTATCGGCCCTCTTCCCACCTTGCCCCCCAGCGCCGCGTGGAGCAAGTTGGGGATGCGCCAGCAAGATCGCTTGAACAACGGCGAGGATTCGGGAACTTTGAAAGCCGCATACTATACATGTAACATGTGCTTTGGCCCCGTAAACAAAAATGACCGACCTCCACAACGCAAATGCGATTGCATTCGCGATGGGAGGGAAACTGGAACGACGTTTCGATCATTGTTTCAGCCTCCTTGCATCGGTCCCGAGGACGCGATCTGGATCCCATGCAACTTCCAGTGCGGCTGGAAGAAGTGGACCTTCCAACGCCGCGAAGGCAACCTGGAAATGCCATAATTCCACTTGCGCCGATTTGTGCCATGCCCGACTTGAGAAAACAAGACGTTGCGTTCGCGCCTTTGTGGCCTGGCCAGAGAGGTGCTTTAGCGCTTTCAGAACTCAAGACGGGCTTGGCCAGAGTCGGCGCAAGGGTAGAGCTGGCGCTTCCATAGGGCAGATCATGTACTACAAGCCCGCAGACGTCGAGCTCGAGTGGATAGCGGTGCCTCTTCTTCACCCGATTCAGGCGGCAATCACCCTGGTCAACTTTCACCAGCCGTCGCACACTCTCGCCGTGCACGTGACAGTTAAACACTCGCCCGAGTTGTCGCAGCTCCTCGGCACATACGTCGCCGCATATTCGACTACGATGAAGACCATCAAAGCGTGCGTGCTGGACCAGCTCGCCTTACCAAATCATCACACCGTGGTGTTGAAGGTGGGCCAGCAGCAAGTGAGCGGCCGGCAGCAGGTGGCCCCCTGCTTCGGCCTCAGCCGGAAGCGCCCGCGCTGAGTCCCGAGGGCACGCCCGCTCGACCCCATATAGATTGGTTTATCATTTTGCCCGCCGACCAGATACCGGGCTGCCTTCCAGGCTAGATTTGCTTCCGACATTTTGCATTTCGCATCCCTAGTGCTATCTCCAAGTGTTCCACGGCAAAAAATGTTATCTCATCCGTTTCAAAAAACACTTACGCATTTACATTCCAATGTAAACATATACACAACGTGCGCCCCCCGCGTACCCACTCGCAACAAAGCTTGGGAAACATGTCAGAGATCGGCCGGCAGGGTGGCGTGGCGGGCCGCGGCCAATTCGCCCAAGCAGCGCCCACACAAGCCAGAATAACTCACCTCCCGCCCGCCCGCCCGCGATGGCGCTCGCTCTTGGCAGCGCCGAGGTGGCGGCCCTCTTCAATGCCGGCCTCGTCGCGCGCCAGACTCTCTTGTCCGCTGCGTGGAGGTTGGGGGAGATGGGGATGCTCGCCGAGGAAGATGACCTCAATTGGATGACCTCCGGCGTCGATGCGGGCTCCGCGGCGACGGTTGCAGCGCCGGCCAAGGCGCCGCCGCCGGCCGCGCCGGCCAAGGCGTCGCCGCCGGCCGTGCCCCCGAGTCCGCCACCGGCCAAGGCAGCGCCGCGGCGGCCAGGGGACCCATGGATGGATCGAGGCGCTGCTGTGGAAGAACACCACCATCATCACCATCACCACAGCCACCCGACCACCGTCATCTCATCTGATGTCGAGTCGGTGCGGGGCTCCCGCTGGGCGCACTACGCGTGCCTCGACCGCGCGCGCGTGCTCCCGGGCCTGATGTTCCGTCGCCACTGCTCAGAGTAGGGGCCGATGCGCCTTGCGGATCTCAAATGCTTCGTCGAGGTCTGCAAGACTGTTCGCCCTCCAACTCACGGCAGTGGCAGCTGGATATCTATCCCCCAGGTATTGGATGGCTGGGAAACGTACTACCTGGACAACACTTTTACCACGCTGTTCTTCCATCACAACCCGACCGGCGCGAGCCAGTGGCACCCGCCGAGCGACGACGTCAGTGCGACGGGTGGCACTTGAGCGCTTGAGCATATGTTTGATTTGATTGCTGATAGTGGCGATGCTACTTTTCCTGTTTTACTAACATGCTTTGGGCCCGCCTCCCACCGCCTGGCCCCCGCGCCGCCGCTTCCGCTTGTATATCTATCCGACTGTTTTCGGATACTCTCAGAGTTTATTTGTTCGCTTTGTCTTATCTTAAGAAACGACGCCGCGCTTGCTCGTCTGATATGTTGCATCAGTATATGCATTAGCTCCTTCCCGCTATCTCTCTCGCCTTCTCTCTCTCTCTCTGTCTCTCTCTGTCTCTCTCTGTCTCTCTACCTTGCATGTGCTCATTGTTTCTTCATATCGTCCTCCCTCTCTCTCACTCTGCTAACTGAGCTGCCATGAGAAGATCGCTCATCTTGCTTTCTGTGCATCTTGGAACGGGCTAATGTTCACGAAGGGGCGTTGGCTTCTGACCGCGATCGATCAGGGCAACGTCGCGGTCGATTGCTTCGAGCAGCGGCCCCCTTAGAAAGAAAAAAAAGAGGAGCTCTTGCCCACTGCAGTTTTCGGAGGGCCATCAACCTGGCAGTGGGCAAGGGCGTTTCGGCCTGCGCGCGCCCCACTGAACGTTCTCCAGACCTGACATCTGGCCGCGGCGATGAGTTTGCGCGGCCACAGAAAGAAATGCCAACTCCAGAAATAAATCTAGAGGTCCAGCCCGCAATGCCCAGGAACGCCAGCTTTTGCCCCCCACCGCCGACAGCTTTTTGATAGTCAGAAACCTGGTAGTGGGCAAGAGCCTTTTCCGATAGCCCATATTTTCATGAACTAGCGATAGCTTCTGCGCGCGATCGATCAGGGCGACGTTGCAGCCAATTCTCTCGAGTAGCTATCAGAGCGAAGCCCAGGAGCTTCTGCCCGCGATTGGTCAGAGCGACGTTGCAGCCGATAGCATTGAGCAGATGTCAGAACGAAGGCCCGAGGAACGCATTTCCGATCTCGACTCGTCCGTCTCTCTATCTCTCTCTCTCTCTCTCTCTCTCTCTCTCTCTCTCTTTCTCTGTGCCAACCGAGCTCCCATGGGTGTCCGATCGCCCACCTCGATGTCGGCGTGTCTTGGAGGAATTATCTACGAAAGTGCGATAGCTTTTGCCTGCGATTGATCGCGGCGGCGTTCCAGCCGATTGCTTTGAACAGCTGTCATTGCGAAGCCCAGGAGAGCCCATCCCCGATCTCGACTCTCTCTCTTTCTCTCTCACTCTTTCTCTTTGTCAACCCAGCTCCCAGGGAGCCGATCGCCGATCTTGAATTCTGCGTGTCTCGGAATGAAGTACATGCATATGAAAGAGCGATAGCTTCTGCCTGCGATTGATAGGAGCGACGTTGCAGCCGATTGCTCGAGCAGCTTTCAAAGCGAAGCCCAGGAGAGCTCATCTCCAATCTCGACTCGAGGGTCCTGCGCCCTCCTTCATATTTCCGACTCGAGGGCACGGCGCCCTCTTACAAACTGATTCGTTGCTGTTACTCAGCATCCCAATGGCGTCGTCGTTGCAGCTGGATCTCAGCAGCGAGGAGGTTTTGGCGCTCGTCGAGGCGGGCGTCATTTCAGGCCAAACAATCCACGACGCCTATCGTGCAGAAGCAGCATCGGCCGGATGGCCTCGCAGCGACTTGCCTGAGATTGACGTCTTGGAGTCTTTGGTGGCGAAGGGCGTCCTGACGAACGGGGGCGTCCTTGACTGGATGCGGTCGGGCGTGGTGACGGCGCAGACAGGACCCGCTGGCGGGCGTTCGTCGAAGCCTCGCCGCCGCCCGACTGATCCGAAGGACAAGGCGCCTTGGTACATGCGCGGCTTGAATGCCCCCATCTTCGTGAAGACAGACCTCCAGCCGGAGCTGGCGTTGCTTTCGCGCCAGGGCAACTGCGTCGCGCACGGCATCGGCCACGTGATCGGCAAGGCGCTGGATGCCGTAGCATATGCGAAGATCTTCCCTGCCGCCGCTTCGCGTGGCCGCAAATACGTGGACGTCGCCGCTGCGCTGGGCGTTGGTTTGCAGGAGGCGCCTGGGCGGGCTTGCGTCGTCGGCGCGTCGGAGAGCGGGCAGGCGCGCTCGATCGGTTCGCGGGGGACTGCCAGTCGCGGCCCCCCGTCGGGCCGCGCAAAATGATTCCCTCGAATCTGTCGGGCGCGCGGCCCGCTTCGCCGTTGCCGCCGCTGACGCCGAGCTCTCGCAAGGTGAGCGACCTTTCTCTCCCTGGCGCCTACCTATGTCATCAGTCTGGCAAGAGAGTGGGGCATTGCACGGGAGTTCGCGTACATGATCGCTACGTTACCATTTGGGAGAATAAGTACAAGTTTGAAACCACGTCCAAGGTATCGGCGCCGCCAAACATGTTGATTTTCAAAGTCATCATCGCTGACAAGGGAGCGCATGGCCATTGCCTGGGCCGTCGTCTGCGCGGTCTCAGGGCCGGCACGTCTCGCGGGGGGGCTCCGCACTTATCGCAGTATTCCAAAAATTTGGGGGCGGTCATAGAGGACTCGGTGATCCCTGAAACACAGGCTGCAGAATTCGAGGTGCCAACGCAACCGGGCGACCCCCCGACGGTTGGCGCCGAGGACACGATGGCGGCCGAGATATCTGAGGGAGCTCCTCGAGACGCCGCCATGGTCGCGGCCTTGGCGAAGCGGATGCGCATCGCGGGGGCCGCCACTTCCCGGGAGACGTTCAAGTCGATGTGGTCCGACGTGACGGAGAAGTCCTCGAAGCTCGCGAACTCGTCGGCCGCCGACCCGCCTCAGTTTTACGGAGTGGTGGCTGCTACGGAGAGGTTTGCCGATATCGTTAACAAAAACCACGAGGAGTGGAACGACGATGTCAAAAGGCTTGGGATGGCAGCTCTAATGCTGTATCGGAGCAGGCAATCTGATGTCAGCCTCCTTCAGCACGTTCAGCTTCTCTGGGTGCTTCTGGGCGGGCGCGAGCTGCGGGCGCACTCAGGTCGTGCTTATTTTTTACGATCATTCCCTTGGACATTTCGAGGGCTTCGACGGTCTCATGCCGCCGACCGTGCTAGCTGCCGCTGGCAATGCCATGCTGACCTTGGAAGGGTTGTTCAGGTCCTTCAAGGCGCCTGTCGCGCGCAAGGACGCGGACGTACTGAATGCGATCGGTTCGTCCATCAAGGAGGCCTTGGCGCAGAACAACAACGACTTGCCGAGTGCAATGTTGACTTTCCATGACAACTGCATGTTCAACAAAGGCAATAACTTGTTGAAAGCAGGGGGCGCCGCGCCTGGCAGGCAGAGCGAACCGGGCGGCGACGGCGAGGATGCAGAGGGCGCCTTTGCAGCCCCTGCACCGGACACGAGCAATTCGGCTGACAGCTGGTTCGTGCTAACGGCTCAGACCATATCCAAAGTGTCAACTAAGCTTCAGTATGAGTTGTTTGGAAACAAGTTGGTTCCTTATTTCATTGAGTGGTGTTCAACTGACATGCAGCGGGTTCCAGGATGCGCGTGCGCTGACTGCTGCGCGTTGCACGATCGCAGCGCTTTCGAGAACGTTTGCTTGGTGTCGTCTCGTTCACCAGAGAACAACATATATCTCGGCATCCCGACACCTCTGCTGGACCCGGTGCTTGACGCCGCCATGGAGCGCGTTCAGCGCGTGTATGAGCAAACTTTTTGGTCTATGCCCGAATCGTTCGTCTTCGGCCAGGCAGCGCAGGCATTGGCTAAGCGCGGTCAAAACATCGATCAAATAACTGTGTATTGGGGGCCGGGCGGCGTCGGCCTATCCCTCTACACTTCGCACTTGCGCGCGATGTACGGCGATAGGAACCACAAGTTCTTTGATCCGAATATATTTTTCCAGGACGAGGAGATGCGGAAGGTGGTGGAACTCTTGGTCGGCGGCTGCATCTTCACCGGCCAGGAGCGGCCCTCGGGGCAGAGGAGTAGCATGCGCCAGGACTTACTCAAGAAGTTCGCCACGGCCGACACCATCGCGGGGAGACTGCCGTACTCCATCTTGACGAAGATGTACAGGATCATCGGGTGGTAAGCGCATGGAGGTAAACCAGTTCTTCACTTTCGACAACGTCAACGAGCACAACCTGGAGTCTATTGTGCGCCGCATCGCCATCATCAAGATACAGTCGCGGTTCTTCGACAAGCTCTACGTTGATAAGATTATTCTCACCGGCCCGAGCAGATGCGGCATCTTCGCGCGCGATCCCGACGCCAAGGACTTCATGATTAGCGGGGCCGCAGTTGCGGCAGGCCATAAGATTCAGTACGCGTTCGAGGTGGAGAACGGGCCCGAGGCGTGCAGAGACATTTTGGTGAACTACACGAAGTGCGGCGGTGACCATGGAGTAGCCGAGAAATACGTCAGGATCGCTTGTCATATCAAGGCGGCCAACGCTGCGGAATCAGCGGCGAGCGCTGTCGCCGAGGGCTTGGTTGACCCGCCGTCCCAGGACGGCCATTTGCCGAGTTCGCCGATAGTCCTTCTCAGCAACCATTTGGTGAAGGAGCTGCAGCGGAAAGGATTGAACTACTTGACTTACAGCGTGTTCCGAGCGTCTGCAACACCTCCCGGCGCTAGGCTGAAGGGTAACAAAGAAGAACAATGGGAGTCGTTGAAAGGCAGCGACTTGTGGATCGACGTCGGTTCCAAGGGCAAGGCGGAAGATCGTCTGATTCCGCGCGTCAAGACCCAGAGAGACGCTTCGATTCTTTGTTCACGGCGGCCGCCATGCTGCGATGCGATATACCCGGAGCACTGCGACGCATCGGCGCTGGAGGCGGCGCGGTGTACATCCAGATTGGCCAACGAGAAGACTTTGGCAGGCGCGTTTAACGCGCTCGCATCGGCGATTGCTCCTGCGCGGGGGCGGCTAGCGAAGGGCATCCTCGAAAGGATCGAGAGTTTGGATGAGAGGGCACAGAAGATTTTGTCAATGACAGAGACGTCGCAGCGGCTGCTTGACCGGAGTAAGAGGTCGGCCGACCTCGAGGTTAACAGAAGGAAGTTGGCCTCGAAGCAGCCGAGCGTTGAGAAGTCTCCAACCCGCCATACTGGAAGGAAAGAAACAGTCCCGCTTGACAGCTTCAAGAGCTACAGGCGCGCAGTGGAGTGGCCGTCTCGGCAGTGCGTCAACGAGGAGCTCTCGGCGCAGGCCATGGACCAACGATTACAGCACGTGGTTTTTTCGAGCACTTTCGATTTGGATTTCGTGAACTGCGTTTTTTGTTTATTGGCGCAGATCATTGAAAAGCTGGGGATCATTGGCGCTCAGCTGTTCGCGGACGAGATTGCTGCGCTACAGCGCGTTCGCGCAGATCGAGAGGGCGTCTGCAGGTTGGAGTCTGAAAGCCGTCCGCGCTTCCTCGCTCGTCTCGATGCGGTTTCCTTGGCCTGGTGCGGCTTGGGGAAATAGGTCCAGGGGCGTTTTAGTCCGCTGTGGGGAGGGGATGAGGCGGAGGGAGAGGGTCCATGGGGCAGGTGCTTTGGCGAGCGAAGAAGCTTGGGCGAGCTTTCCTCTGGCTCCTGATAGGGGCGTCTTCAAAATGTTGCCGTTCAAGGGCAAGCAAGTCTTGATCAAGCTGATATGCGGCGGCGCTTTGCCGAAGGAATTGTCCGAGAACGAGTTCGCCAAGATGCTGGTGAGAACAGCGCGTTTCCTGCGTTGGCTAGCCGTGGGGCTGTACCCGGAGCAGTTCAAGCTCCTAGAGTCCGCGCAGGACAAGTGGTCAGAGGCATCGCTGGCCAGCTACATGTGGCAAGGCGTTGAGGATTATTGTTTGGAGCAGTGGGTCGACTTTGTCATGGAAGAGAAAGTCAGTCACGTATCTTTGCATTTCGACGGCCTGCGCGTCGACAAGGGGCGCGTCCTTTTGAGCCAGGCGGGCGGCGATGCGCAGGCCACGGCAGTTTCGGACGCAGAGAAGGTCAAATCCTTTTGCAAGAAATCTGAGGAACGGATTCTTGCCACTACGGGTTATTCCGTAAGCACCAGGAACAAGGAGAGATATGATTTTATTGATCTTCTCCGTGCGAGCGCATTTGACGTTGAGCCTGCAGATGCGCCGAGCGACGTCGAGGCGCTGTTCTCTGCCGGCAATGGCATCTTCTGCGCAATGGCTGCGCTCGCGGGCAACTGGTCGGATATGTCGACGAAGGCCGCTGCCGCCGCAACGCCTCCCAGCGCAGCGGCGGCCTCGGCGGCCTCGTCGCCGCTGTTCTGGGCGCCGCCTCGGCGCTCGTATCGGACATGTGCGAGAGCGGCCAATGTGAAGCTGTTGCCCGTGGAAGTGCCACAGGAAAGTTGTCCTGGGCTATTCTTAGTGCACTGCGAGCCAGACGTTGCGCCGCTTTGCGTCGGCATCGACGTGAAACAGCGTGGGCCGCGCAAGTGCTGCGTCGGCAGGGAGCGCTGGAGTCTGCCGGCCGGGGCGCTGGACGAGGCGGTGTTGGCGGCTCTCGATCGGTGCATGGTAGTGGCATTTCAGATGAAGCCCGCCGATCGAGATGACGAAGATCATCGAGATAGTTCGTTGGATGGCGCATTGGATTTATTTGCGGTCGCCGGCATCGAGGACAATGTCGCCGCCGTCTGCCGCGCGCGCAGACGCCGCTCGCTCGCGGCGCGCGTCGCCGCAGGTAGCCCGAGCTCAGACCGCTCTCTGTCGCCGCCCTCGCCGGCCAGCCCAGCTGCGCAGCGGGGGGCGGCAGCTCTTCGCGAGCTCGGTTGTTCAATTCGCGGCATCGTGCCTTTTGACCGGCGACGTCTGACGTGGCACGGCAACTGCATCCCGTTCGGCATTGCGGCGCTCACTGGCGATTGGGATGGCGCCATCGCAGCTGCGACTGTGGATTCGGACGAGAACGCAGCAGCTATGGCGAGCGGCCTTCGTCGATATAGTGACTGCGCCAATCTCTTCGGCGTTTCATTGCGGCCAGTGCCGACGACGGCGGTGGAGACACTTGGCCGATTTCTTGTTCACGGAAAAGTTGCAGGCAGAGAACATTGCGCAGTTGTCGAAGTATTCGAGCACGGCGGCAGCATCTTACACTCAGAAGGGTTATCTTGGGACGTACCTCGAGGTTGTCTCGACGCTTGCTTGCGGATTATCTTCGACTTCGGCGTCGAGGCGGCGTTCGCTCTCGGCGGCGGGCATTCGTCGACCCTTAGCGATGACGTCGCTGCACGCGACGCCATGGACATGGTGGCCGGAGCCGGCGTCGAGGAGGAGGGGGCCGTTGACGTCGCGAACGCCGACGACGAGCACGCCGAGGAATTGGATGACGATTCATGCGTGCGCGTGCATGCGAATCTCTTGCAGCTTCTACGCGACGAGGTTACTGACTTCGAGATGATCGTGAAGTCGCTCTCTCGCACAGGCGCCACGAAGGACGGGAATGGGAGCGTTGCAAGGTGCTTGCTTTGCCCATTCAAAGAGTATTCTACTTCGTCTGTAAACGTTAAGAGGGATCTCCTTGCGCATATCGCGAATCACCACGGCTTGCACAGAAAATGCGAGAATGGTAGAGATCGTGAGATGGGATCAGGTCGGTACGTTGCTTCAGGCACTAAGCAGTGGAAAGTCATCCAGGCGTTGTTTGACGACGACATGTTATCAAAGCATCAACCGAAGAACTTGCTGCAGCGCAGTGCCGATCTCATGCGGCGGTCGGTGAGCCCGCCGTTGCGGTGTCTTGGTGTTGACAAGCAGATTCGGCTGCTCCTTGACCACGACGGGCCCCGGTTTGTCAACTTCGAGGTTCTCGCGAGAGATGGCGCGCTCCAAGCCAGGCTCGGGCTGGAAGAAAGAGCAGGATGCGGAAAGGGGGGGGGGGTGCGACATCTGTTTCGCGCAGCTGGTTTCGGCTCCGCCCGTTGAGCCCGTTCTTCGACGCGCGGGCGCCTCCCGGCGTTGCGGGGCGCCGGGGACAGTAGCTGCGTGAGCTGATTGCGCGCCCTGCCCTTTGCCATCCTACTCTTTCGTCGGCTTCGACAGGCGCGTGGGAAACACGTACTACACGAAGGAGTTCGCCGAGCTCGTCTTCCGCGAATCCATCTTGCACGAAGGTCGAGTGCGCCCGATGAGGGCGAGGATTGTGAGGCGCTTTAAGGAAGCTGGCAGTTGCGTCACGCACCTTCTACCAGGAAAGGTCGTTCAGTGGTTGTCGTTGATGGAGGACGTATTCCCGTCTCCGTTCGTAGAGGAATTGCGAACCAATCTCATGGGCGAGTTGGTTGATAATACAGAGTTTGAGCACGTTTCGTTGGATGCAACTCTGCGCACTGCCATGCGCGTGAAAGGCCAGGCGAACTACAGGGAACCGGCAGAGATTCGAGCGGCGGCGCCGTTCCCAGACGGCGCTGCCAAGAGGCGCATTTTGACTGCCAAAGGTCGCGCGTCAGCCGCCATTGGCATGTGGCCCGTGGCCAGCGAAGCGGCATCCGTCGTGAAGGCGGCGCATCGAAATCACTTGCCCGAGCGAGCTCTCCAGCAGCGCGTCTCAGTGGCATCAGATGATCCGTCGGCGACATTGTTTGCAGAGCTCAAGCAAATCATGCCTCAGCTCAAGTTTTTGTGCCTAGATCCTGTTCATCTCGCAATTGTGTATAATCAGGCGCACTGGCGGAAACATTCTCCGGGCCAGGCAGTTTTGCGAATCATTTTGAATAAATTCAATAAAGTGAGCTCAGATTTAAATGGCGCCGCGTGGGGCGCCCCTTACACGGGCCACCAGGCTAGCTCGCTGTCTGCCGCCGAGGGCCGCGCGCAGTCGTTGATAGCCGGCGGCGGCATGCAGAAGCGCCGAGCGCACAAGATCATTGCAGATCTCGACGCCAATGAGCCATTCGTGAGAAAACTTGAGTTCATCGAGGCATTGGCGGCATTGACGTCCGTCTACTGGGAAGAAGTGGACAGGCGCACCCCCGCCGCGCCAAGCAAGAAGCTGGCTGATGTAATAGCGAATGCCGCGCAGCACAGTCGATGCGAGTATCTTTTTAATAATTTGCGCATGCGGCACTCGCTGCCGGCTCGCGCGCTGCCATTGCTCGGTTCGGGCACGAGCCCAAACGAAGCGCTGCGTAGCGAGATCAACAGGTGGTTTAAGAACCAGCCGGAGTTGTACGCGCAGACTTTAGAGCTCCAGCTCGGCGTCAACGTAATCGGCAAGCAAATGATGCATAATTCAGCTATGTGCGCCCCCACTCTGCGCCAGCTGTCTTCGCAAACTGTCGCAGCTAGCGTGGTCTGCTCGTTTGCGATATCCGCCGCCGAGTGGGCAAATCATTGCGCTTCTCAGGCGCAGGAGCAGAGGGCGCCGCGGAAAGCGCAGCTTCCGCTGGCGCTGCAGCGCAAAGCCGCTGAGCCCCTGGCGAACAAGTGGAAGGTGGATCACAAGCGCATGGTTGTTGCGCGCAAGCCAGCAGGGCAACAACAATTCATTCGCACCCTGAAGCGGCCGGGCGCAGCCAAGCAGCGCAAGCGCATGCCCTTCTCTCTCTTGTTCGGAAGCGCAGCTAAGGCGGACGGCTTTTCCCTTGATGAATGCTAGTGGTTGCGTTTATGTTTGAAGCTCAACTGCGTGCTGCCTTGTCACTGCCTCGACGCGCGGCATTTGCGCTGCCATGCGAAAAAGAGTACTAAACATCGGGAGTTGCGAAGGCTTCGCCTCTATTACCGGAGCCCCGATTAAAATAATTTGAATTATTTAATTTCCCCGAGCAAATTTTTTAATCATTTAAATCAGTACCGTTTCGACGAGAGACGAACCTCAGTTGTTTTATTAATAATTTTTAAATTCTTTATTTTTAAGTTTTTTAATATTAAATAATCAAAACGTTTAATAAGTTAATCAATTTAATTAATTAAATCGCAACGTTTCGCTTCTATTACAGGAGCCCCGATTAAAATAATTTAGATAATTTAAACCACCCGGGCAATAAATTATCTAATTTATTGAAATCAGCGTCCTTTCGTCGAGAGACGAACTTCAGTTATTTTATTCATTAAATTATTAAAACTATTTGATTTTTTATTATTATTATTCAAATATTTCACGATTTAAAATAGCTTAAAACATTTAAGTAATTTAATTCATAAAATCGTAACGTTTCGCTTGTATTACAAGAGCCCCGATTTCAATAATTTAAATATTTCAAACCACCCGGGCAATAAATTATTTAATATATTGAAATCAGCGTCTTTTCGAAGAAAGACGAGTTTCAGTTTTTATATGAATTAAATTATTTAAAGTATTTAAATTATTTAAATATTTATCAATTTAAACAGTTCAAATAATTTAAATAATTTAATTAATAAAATCGTAACGTTTCGCTTCGATTACAGGAGCCCCGATTTAAATAATCTAAATATTTTAAACCACCCGGGCAATAAAATCTTTAATTTATTGAAATCAGCGTCCCATCGAAGAAAGACGAGTTTTCAGCTAATTTATGAATTAAATTTTTTACATTACTTAAATTATTTAAATTATTAAATATTTAAATAATTTCAATAGTTTAAATAATTTAAATAATTTAATTAATAAAATCGTAACGTTTCGCTTCGATTACAGGAGCCCCGATTTAGATAATTTAAATAATTTAAACCACCCGGGCAATAAAATATTTAATTTATTGAAATCAGCGTCTTTTCGAAGAAAGACGAGTTTTAGCTAATGTATTAATTAAATTATTTAAATTATTCAAATTATTTAAATATTAAGTTTAAATAGTTTAAATAATTTAATGAATAAAATCGTAACGTTTCGCTTCGATTACAGGAGCACCGATTTAAATAATTTAAATAATTTAAACCACCCAGGCAATACAACATTTAATTTATTGAAATCAGCGTCCTTTCGAAGAAAGACGAGTTTCAACTAATTTATTAATCAAATGTTTTAACGTATTTGAATTTTTTAGATTATTTAAATATTTAATAGTTTAAAAAGTTTAAATAGCTTAAATAATTTAATTAATAAAATAATATGGAATCGCTTTTATTTACAAAGGCCAGGATTAATTTTTTTTTTTTTTTTTTAAAAAAAAAAAAAAAAATCTGTAAGCAATAAATTAATTATCTTTTCAAAATGACGATCATATGTGACTAGTTTGTCCCTCAATCATATATATATATATATAAAGCGCGTGCCCCACGCATCCGTTGTCAACTCATCCTTCTGAAGCAAAAATAAATTATACACGATCCACGCAAGCACCGCACCATTGTTTCGCCTAGTTGTGTGACCACAGGTCCATGACGATGCTACAGTGGAACCAGCTCCCATACTTACTACTTAGATTGCGCTGGGATTGGTCGGGCCCGTTGCCCTTGCAGCACGAAGCAACAGCTACCTTCATGCGGCTTGCGTCATGCTCGCATGTGTCGTTCCACCCTATCCGGGGGATCTTGAACAAACGTTCAAAGCCAACGTGGGCAAAGCAGTGGCTCTTCATTGTCACGTTGAAAATAAGAGCGGACCGGGGATTCTAGCATTATATAGATGGGCAGTTGCTGCCTGCACAGCCAAAAGAAGCAAACGCGCAGTGTTTAAATTCCTGCGCTGCTGCTGGCGGGAGGCGCACGCACCGCACATTCGCATTCAAAACATTTTCCATCCGAACCGACATTTTCAAGCCTTCGTACACAAACGCATTCTCGTCGAGGGTCTCGTCCATCCACTGTTCCCAAATCTCCACGTAAGGGTGTGCCATCGTATTGATTTCAGCGCCTCTGTCTTTCAGACTCGGGATTTCACTTTCCTTCACAAACATGGGTAGCTTCGGATTCATGTAATGGTTTTAAACGCATTCCCGCCCCCAGTAGCCATGGCACCTGTCAACACACATACTACAAACTGCGCGCGGCGCTATTCGGAAGACGTTCATAGCAGGGGAGTCACAATACGCTGCCCATGACACAAGCATCGGTTCCAAGGGGTTGCACGTGGAGGAGGCCGAGCATTACCATAGTGATGGAAACACATGGCACATCGAATAGCACATGATTGTTTGGAAATTGTAGTCTACACGCGGCGTCTGTCCATTCATGGGGCATCCAACAAGCGTGCACGGCATGTCCGCCACATTGCACGGGCACTTCGTGCAGGGCGTGTTTGACGCCGGCCACGGGAGCTTGAAGTCCTGGGGGAGAGCAACAGCAAGCAAATAGTAAACAATTGAATCCACGCAAACATTCATTATGCGCTACGGCGGGCTGTTATTGACCGAACATGCAGGCAACGCGCGCGCTCGCGCCGCAACCAAGAAGAAACTTCTGCTAACGGGAAGATGCGCTGGCACGAAAAAGGTACTTGCAACGCAACCACGCTCGCCCCCACGCTTTGCCCGCGCCAGTGCGAATGATTCCCCCGAACCAACAAAAGAAGCGAGCGCCCAACATCGCTTCCAACTCGACGTTGAGGCCGAATAGGGCGCAGCGGAAGCCCCTGGCCAAATCTTTTTGGGGCCCGTTGTACAACGCATTGCCGCTAAAATCTTTTTGCGGTAGCTTCCCTAGGTACATTGCTGCTAACGACCACTTGACCTCCCGCCAGACTCGACCCATGGCAACGTGACAAATTGCCCTAGATACCAAATTCTTCCGTGCTGGACACCAACAGGTTGGTTTGAAGCGTAGAACCGTGGACCGCTGAACCCGACTTCCAAGAGATGACGTTCACGGATCCCCCCCCCTCGGAGGGCACCAACTATACACCAACACCGATCCTGGCCCAGGATCACCCTGGGCCCATGATCGGTGTATATGCCTTCTTGCCCAAGGCAGGAGGGCGTATACACCGATCCTGGGCCCAGGGTGATCCTGGCCAGGATCGGTGTCGGTGTATAGTTGGGCCCCCCTCGCCCAAGGTCTGCCCGACGCCCTTCCACGGGGGCCCCCTCCGTTCGCGCGAAAAGCCGGGTCGGCGATATGGACTGCCGCCCGGGAACCTCCTGGATCGGGTGGCCCTCCACGCGCGGAGAGTCGGCCCTCTCCAACCCAGACATCCACGCAGGACTGGCGCCCCGGGCACGCGTGCTCTTCGACGCGTGGAGCATACACCTAAGGCGATGCTTAAGAAAACCTAAGTTTTCGGCCAGAGTCTCGATTATTCTTAACTTTTCAATGTAAACCCCCAGATTTTCATAGAAGTTCTGGGTTTCATTCAATTTCTGAGACTATGAATTTCTTAAACCATGATTTCTTAAGCATTTCGCAGGGTGTAGCTGCCACGCGGGGCAGACGCAAACTCACGAGGCAACACAATACATCAAACTTGGACTAGTGAGTTACACCTGGCGCGGACGTCTGCGTCGGCAGCGTCAGCGCCCCACCGACGGTCGGCGCGCTGGGGGTCACTGCGCTTCGGGGGTCTCTCCAACAACCCGCGCAGTGGCAAGGATGGGCAACCTTCCCAAGGGCACCCCTGCTCAGAGCCCCGAATCATCAGGGGTAACTCGGGTCAGGGCTAACTCGGGTTCGTTTTTCGGGATTCCGAACCCGAGTTATCCCGGACCCGAGTTACCCCGGATATTTCGGGCGTCCAGGGCCCCGAATCATCAGGGGTAACTCGGGTCAGGGCTAAGTCGGGTTCGTTTTTCGGGAACCCAAACCCGAGTTACCCCGGACCCGAGTTACCCCGGATAACTCGGGCGTCCAACCTGCAGCCTTCCCCATAGACCCATCCTTTTGGCCGCTCTCGCTGGCCGCGCCCCCCCTCTCGCGGAGCGTCGACACGGCCCTCCAAGGCCCTTGCATCCCTGTCAGGCGTTCTTCTGGTACGGTTAAGTCGGGCGTGTCCCTCTGCAGGGGGAATATTCAAAGATAGTTTCTCAATTACTCCGACGGAAGGACCCCACATGAGAATCTCTTTAGCTTGCATGGGGGTATCCTCCTGCCCCTTCCCTTCTCCCACCTACTCTTGCCTCCTCGTTCTCCTCCTGTCTGCTCCTCCTCCTGCCTCAACCCCTGCCTCTTCCTCCTCTTCTTGCCTCCTCCACCTCCTCCCCCTCCCCCTCGTTATGCTTCCTCCCCCCCATTCCCCCTGCCCCTCCTGCCTCCTGCCTCCTCCTCCTGCTCTCCCTCTCCCTTCTCCTCCTCCTCCTCCTCCTCATCCCCTGTCCTCCTCCTCTCCCTCTCCCTCATCCGCTCCTCCTCCTCCTCCTCCTCCTCCTCCTCGTTTCCATATTCCTCCCCCCTCCTCCCCCCCTCCTCCTCCTCCTCCTCCTCCTCCTCCTCCTGCCTCCTCCTTAGGCCTCCTGCCCCCTCCTGGGGCCTCCTGGGGCCTCTTGGGGCCTCCTGGAGCCTTCTGGGCCTTCCGGGACCTACTGGGGCCTCCTCGGGCATTCCTCCTCCTCCTTTTCCTCCTCGTCCTTCCTCCCCTCAGCCTCTTCCTCTTCCTGCTTTCCTGTCTCGTCCTGCATCATCCCTCCTCCTTTTCCTGGCAATCCTCCTCCTCCTCGTCCTCGTGCGGAACACGACCCAGAGGAAGCGCACGACGTGCGTCCCAGCCGATACGCGCCGGAGGACGACCCAGAGGAAGCGCGCGCCGGAGGATGACCCGGAGGAACCACGTGAGCTGCGGGACCCATAGGAAGGCTCCCGCCTGACGCGTCCTCACAATTCACTCACAGACGAGGGTCCCGCTTGATACTTCTTCCAAATTCAGACCTGAGGAGCCCAAAAGTGACGACAGTTACAGGAATCCGATGACCCGCTCGGATTAGTAACATGATCTGCGGGCCCCATAGGGAGGGGGCTCCCGCCTGACGCGTCCTCACAATTCACTCACAGACGAGGCTCCCGCTTGATACTTCTTCCAAATTCAGACCTGAGGAGCCCAAAAGTGACGACAGTTACAGGAATCCGATGACCCGCTCGGATTAGTAACATGATCTGCGGGCCCCATAGGGAGGGGGCTCCCGCCTGAGACTTCCTCGCAATTCACTGACAAACGAGGCTCCCGCCTGATACTTCCTCCAAATTCAGGCCTGAGGAGCCCAAAAGTGACGACAGTTACAGGAATCCGATGACCCGCTCGGATTAGTAACATGATCTGCAGGGAGGGGGCTTCCGCCTGAGACTTCCTCGCAATTCACTCACAGACGAGGCTCCCGCTTGATACTTCCTCCAAATTCAGACCTGGGGAGCCCAAAAGTGACGACAGTTACAAGAATCCGATGACCCGCTCGGATTAGTAACATGATCTGCGGGCCCCATAGGGAGGGGGCTTCCGCCTGAGACTTCCTCACAATTCACTCACAGGCGAGGCTCCCTCTTGGTGGATGATGGTGATGGGATGATGACGACGGTGTTTGATGATGATATATGGTTGATGATGATGATGATGATGGTGGTGGTGGTGATGATGACGACGTGATGATGATGATGGTGGTGATGATGAGTGCTGATGGTGAGTGATCGTGCGATTATGATGGTAAATGGTGGTGATGATGACGGGGACGAAGTGGTGAGTCAGCGAGGAGTGATGATGATGATGATGATGATGATGATGTTTCGATGCCGATGATGGTGAATGATCGTGCGATGGTGATGGTGATGATGATGGTGATGATGATGATGATGAGTGGGGAGTGATGGTGATGGTGATGATGCGGAGGAGGAAGCAAAGAGGAGCAGAGGAGAGGGAGGAGGACGAGAGATCCTGCGCGGAGGGTGTGCAGAGAAAACAAGAACCCCACTTAGGACGTGGGGAAAAATAGTCTGGGGACGATTTGTTTGGCTATTTTTGCATATTGTGGGGGTCTTCTTTGTGATTTTTATTTCTCGCCCAAAATCCCCCTGTAGGCTTAGGGGGACACGCCCGACTTAATGGTACAGGTTGATTGCACCGAATCTGGTGCAGCAGGAGGGGCTTTGGCTCTCGGGCCGGTCCGCAGATCTGGGTCGGGAACCCCTTTTCGCGGCCGAGGCTCGCCGTGGCCCGACAGACGCGTTCGTTCCTTACTCGGCGATCCTTCGGGTAGCATTAACTCGGGCATGCTTTTTTATTTATTTGTTTTGCCATTTGGGAGTATTTCGGGGGTATGTTTAATTTTTCATCCAAAATCCCCCTGTAGGGGGACGCCCGACTGAAAGATAGCACGATGGTGACACAGTCGAGACGCTGAAGCAAGGATCTCTGTGGATTTAGGTGGGGCTCGGGTATTCTCGCTGTGGATGCAGGTGGGGCTCAGGTTTCCTGCCTCTTCTTCAGTTTCAGATCTGGGCCGGTGAATTCCGTCGAAGCCCAGGTTCGCCGTGGTCAGCAAGGATCGATATGTTCCTTCTACGGCGCCCCTCAGAAAGACTGCCAGCACGACGGCTGTAGCTCTGGAGGGGTGTCCGCATGCTCCTCGCGCTTGGGCTCCCCACCTCGCCACCTCGGAGTGCCCCCCCCCGTCTTGCACTACAGTGGAGCCCCGGGTTCTCAGCGAGGGGGCTCACATTCACGGACCACGCCCTTGATCGGACACGAAAACATCGAGCAGGGGATCGAGTACAAATTGGCGGCGTGCACAAGGGGTAGTGAGAGGGGGGGAGGCTTCTTAGAAGGAGGCTGCTTCTTAGAAGGCGCGGGCCTTACAGTGGGGGCCCATGCCAATAAACACCCTGCTTGCCTCCAGGGTGCCCTGGGATTCTTGGGTTTCGATGGTTTCGCTATGTGGAGTAGACACCATTTTACATCTGTAGACAAGGCCCACGCCTTCTAAGGAGCAGAGGTGTTTCTAAGGAGCCTTGCCCCCTCCCTCTATTACTCCCCTCTGCGCGCCGCCGAACAACATCAAGTTTACCCCACACTTGAAATGGTCGTCGAGTCTTCGAAAACGATACCTCGAATGTGTGTTATTTCCTTTCTTTCCAGATCGTGCAAGGCGTTGACACCTACACGTCCCACAGTCTCACGTTGCCTCAAGTATAGCACAATCTCGTTGATTCTAAAGCCAGCGCTTCGGCCACAAATGCCGACTGCACTACTCCAAACGTCATTCTTGCTCTGTGCACGGTAGGCTGGGAGCCTTTCGGGAAATACGCCACGATAGATATGCAGGCCGATCCGTTGCCGAAGCCTCGCCTAGCTCCGTCCACGCAGAGGCTGATCTTAGCTTTCTCGGCCACCGCCCGTGCCAAACACTCACTGTACGCATTCTCCCACAGGCCGCCCCTGTCTAGGGCAAGGCTCGTCGCGTGATCAGCGAGATTGTTAAGACTGCGCGGGTCCCACAAAGTATACTCGGAGATGCGAGTGAGCGGCGTCACGCCTCTGCAGTACAAGCCTTTCAAACAACGAACGATGCGAGTGTACATTGGACGCATGAGCTGCCCTTTCAGGTAAGCTCTGCCAGCAAACAGCTCGGTAGATTTGACACCCCCCTAGAGCGCACAGCGCCCGAGTCCGTAGAAAGAACCTGAAAAGGACCGCTTTCGAGATCCTAGAACTGCATCAGCCTTGGGGCACTCCACTGCGTGCTGAAGGCGAATCAGCGAAAAAAGAAGGGCGGATCCTCACCCACCGCTGCAAGCACTTCGCTGGATCATCAGTATCATCACCGCTATGTATTTGCTTTGCTAGTGTTGTGCTACTTGTTCTTTGTGGCCACGTATCGGCTCCACCACCACTCAAGCCGTACATCCAGCAGGACGTGTTGGCACGTCAATTGTTTGAGGCCGCCGAAGGAATAATGTCGAACTGGTATCTCTCCGAGAGATCCGACGCCCCGAGATGGGGTTTAGGCGGAATTTGTAGAACCGGAGAGAGGGAAGAGGCAAGCTAGGTTCGCTCGCGCCATAGCTGTCATCACTCCCATCCGACCCATCCCTTTACACTGCGTCGGTTTGTTCTCCATCCGCGGACGCATGTCATAGCGGATTTGGAAATCATCAAACGCGAAATGGAGTGGAAGGAGCGGGAGGAGGAGTAGGAGGATTAGGAATTTGGGGGAGGTGGAGGAGAGGAAAGGAGGGGGGCGACAACGATGAGGACAGGCTCGGATCCAGAAAAGTGTCCAGCGCTGGGGCGAGAGCGCCACTGAACGACGGGAGCAACACGCCGATCCAGAAATGGTGCCCGCGCTGCAGCGGGAGGAGCACCATCTTGAGACATTGTTGTCCAATCTCGGCTGAAAGAACAGCACGCGAAGAGGGCGGGACACTTGCTGGAAAGAGTCTGGAGAGAGCGGAGACCCGTGTTCATAAGGCGCACGTGCAGAGGGAGAGGCGCATGGAGGGGTGGGAGGGAGGAGAGCGCAGGGAGGCAGGGAGGGAGGCAGCAGGGCGCCAGACGTCGGCGCGGCTGCACCCGACGGCGTGCCCCGCCGCGGCCCCCCGCGGCGAGGCCCGCTGGTGCTGCAGGACGCCGCGGAGTGGCCCTCGCTGCCCTCGCTCCAGGAGGGGGGGGGGGGGCGCGCGGCAAGGGGCGCCCGGAGCCGCTCGGGCGGACGGCACCGGGCGGGCAAGAAGAGGACGGCAGGGAAGATGCCGTTTCTCCTGAGGTTCCGGCAAGGGTGATCGTTTGCATGGCGTTCCCCCCCCCCCCTCCCGCGGCCTCTGCGAGCAGCGCTGGGCCGCGCAGGCGCGCGAGCGAGTCCCAGCTTGCGCGCAGTCCGCATGTACTGTCGGGCCTGGTCTCGCCACGCCCCCCCTCCATGCAAGCAGCGCTGCTGGAGTCCGAGGAGAACATGCCTCCAATCGACGTGGGGGGGGCGGGGGATCGAGGAGCCCAGACAAGCCGCCCTCGAGGGGCCCCCACGTGGCCCCCTGAGCCGCCACCGCGGCGTTTCTCTTCGATCCCCCGCACATCCCCCCCCCCGTCGGCGAGAGGGGGGGGGGGAGCGCGGCGAGGGGGCGGGGAGGGGGGCGCAGAGCCTCGGGGGGTGGGGCTGTCCGCGTCGGACGAGCGGGCCCAGACCCCCTCGCGTCGTGAGCACAGCAGCGACGGGAGGTTTTTTTGGCTGCGCGCCCCAGGGCCCTTGCAGCTGGCAGCTGGCCCGAGGCTTCGGAGGGGTGCCCGTCTGTGCTTCGCGCTTGTGGCCTCCGTCCAGAACTCTTCTTCGTTTTGAGCACAGGGCTGGACCTGGACGGTGTTTTGGCGATTTCGTGGGCCGTTTTCATTTCGATTTCGTTTTGCGGTAAAGGCGAATCGAAGACAAAACGAGGGAAAACGAAAACGAGACGACAACGACAAGCACTGTTTCGGTTCAGCCCTGTTTGAGTATGCCCGTGGGGTCTCGGCCCCTTGGCGAAGGGGCCAGGGGTTCCTGATCCCCGACCTCGCGGCAATGGTTAAGTCGGGTGTGTCTCTCTACAGGGGGAATATTCAAAAAGATTCAAAACATAGTCTGGGGATGATCTCCTGACTATTTGGGAGCATTTGGGGGGGGGGTATTGTTTTAGTTTTTCTTTTTATTTTTTCGCCCCAAATCCCCCTGCAGGGGGACACGCCCGACTTAAGGCAACGGCTCGGCCGTCCTGCGGCGTGGCGGAGGGCGAGGCCCTCGGGTGGGGGTCGACGCCGCGAGCCGCAGGTCGGCGTCGGGGGGCCGGGGGTTCGGGTCGGACGAGCGCGGGGGGGGAGCCTCGCGGCGGGGGTCAGTGCGATCCGGGGGTCCGCCGGAGCGCCCGATCCTGCAGGATCCTGCAGGGCCAGGGTCGCACTGGCCCGGCCTCGGGCGCAGGATCCTGATCTTGCAGAATCCTTGGCATTGGCACAGGTTTGGGTGCAGGCTCTTTCAGGGTTTTGCAGGATGTTGCAAGGCCTGGCTGGCCCGGGTCTGGATTGACCCAGGTCAGAAGATCTCCGAACGCGGGGGGATGGGGATCGGAGGGAGGAGGTGCGACACCAACACCACCAGGGGGGCCACCTCCAGCGAGGAGGTCCACGATGCCTCCCCGAGCTGGAGGCTGGGGATGTCTCGAGCGAGAGGGGAGGACCACACCACCAGGGAGACCCCCCCCCTTGCTCGTCGCATCTACTCGCCCTGGTGGTGTTGGTGTCTCCTTTCTATATTCCTAGGGAAAGGGGGGGACGAAGTCTGCTGCACGCAGCCAGTTTCGGCCCCACCACTGGGCGCCTCCTTCGATATATTGGCGCCGCCAGCGCGGCAAGGCGCTGGGAGAACCAGCTATTTACGGTACGTCGGTTCATGTGGCGATGGTTCGTCGGCGACGCCCGCGAAAGAGTTCAAGGTTGAATTTCGAATGATAGAACGACCACGGTAACGCCACAGGACCCGACGAAGTCAACCTTCGACGATCGGGCCGCGATCGATTCAAGTTTGAACGATCGAGTGTCAAAGAAATCTGCGCGCGCTGACTCCGCACGAACCTCCCATACTTGAGCTGATTCGTCATTCCCCCCTTTGTTATCCACCCTTTTCGTCCGACCCGAGAGGGGCGCCGGAGCCTCAGGGCCTTTCGCCTGCAAGGGCTGCACAGGCGAGGGCGGATTCTCATCGGCGACACCCAAGATACTACTACTACTACTACTATGTGTGCGTCGCCCCCCCAGGGGCGACGCGCGCACCGACAAATCATACAGTAGATGCATCGTGGCGGGCGCTTTCTGGCCGTACCGCTTGTGAAACGAGGTACTACAAAATTGGTATACTATATGTTCGGGTCGGACGCGCGCCTCCGAGGAGGACTTGCAGTAACCCTGGGAAGCAATCAGTAAACCCCCCTCCCCCCCCCCCCCCCTCATCAGAGGAAATTATAACGCTTCCGGCACCGGGGCCGGGGCGGAAGCGATATCCCCCGCAGGTCACCAGAGGTCCGCGGAGGGGAGGTCCCCGGAGGTTCCCAGGAGGCATCCAGAAAGGCCTCCACAAGCCTCTGAATGCCCGGTCCCCTTGTAGTCCAGAGCCCAGCGACAAGGCACACCTGCCCAGAGTCGCTTCCTGTGATTCTGTGCGTTTCTGTGAGATTCGTCACGATTGGCTTCTTTTGAGATTCCTTGCCGTTTCCATTGTGATTATTTTGGGACTCCTTTGAGACTCCTCTTGTGTTCCTTTGATGTTATTCTGGGGGTCCCTTGAGGCTCCAGTCATATCCGTTTGATACCCCATTGCTTAAGAGAGCATCACATCGACATCCGGGGCGGTGGATTATTTTATTTGTAGTACATGTGCTAACATATCGCGGGGGGGTTCGCGGAATCCGTCTGCGATATCCCTCCGTGGACTCTCCCATAGGATCCCCTGAAAGAATCAATTTCCTTAGTGCGGTCGCAATAGGGATTGCTTATGTCCACGCGAGCCCGCGTTTTCCAAATTCCTTAGATTCCTTTGTGGTTCGTTTGAGCTGCCGCTGAGATGCCTTTGCGATTTCTGTTGGGCTCCTTTGAGATTGCTTTGAACTTCCATTGGTTCCTTCGATATCGTGCGTGGGATTTCTTGTGATATTCTTATGGGATTCCTTTGGGGGTTCTTTCGAGTTCCTCTGACATTCCTTCGACAATCCCTGAAGGGAGCATCCCATCGACCTCCGGCGCCTGTGGATTATTTTATTTTCAATAAATGTGCTAACATATCGTGGGGGGGTTCGCGGAATTCGTCTGCGATATCCCTCCGTGGACTCTCCCATAGGACCCCGTGAAAAAACAATTTCCTTTTTGCGGCCGCAATAGGGTTTGCTTATGTCCACGCGAGCCCGCGTTTTCCAGATTCCTTAGATTCCTTCGTGGTTCGTTTGAGCTGCCGCTGAGATCCCTTTGCGATTTCTGTGGGGTTCCTTTTTGAGATTATTTTGAATTTCCAATAGGGGTCCTTTGAGATTCTGCGTGGGCTTCCTTCTGAGATTTCTCTGGGATTCCTTTGGGTGGTCCTTTCAAGTATAGCTGATTGCGGTGATTTCATTGTTTGTCATTTATGATTTACCTTTGATTTCCGATGCGCGTCAGTTTCCCAGTGTTCTAGCAAGGCGGGAACCCATTGGCAAGCGTTCGTGCGCGTTGGTTCTTCAGGCTGTCGCCTCGCGTTGCCGCCAGCTTCGGGCCCGGGGGGGGCAAATTAATTAATTATTATTTTATTTTATTTTTTATGTGCTAGCGATATCGCCGGAGGGCGCCGCCCAAAATAATTATTCATTTTATTTTCTGTGCTAGCGATATCGCCGGGGGGGTTACTGTTTGCTTGCCAGGGTTATTAGTATGTCTCTGTGCGTCCCATCTCAGGGGAACGGGAGTCGTAGGAGGGTCAGTCTCGGGGGCAGCGTTTGGGGGAGGGTCGGCCTAGGAGGGGGGGTCATCGGCCCCCAATCGCCCACTGAGTGCCGAAAGGCGCCCGGTTCCCTCGCGCCGCTCAGGAGCATGCGGGGTCGTCATCGGGGTCAGATCGCCGATCCATCGGCGATGTATCTCGAAGAAGAACACGCCACAAACATAAACCTGTTGGCGCTCCGCGCGGGTTTCTCGGATCCGCGCTGGGGAGCGCCAGAAGTTTATGTTTACGGCGTTGCTTCTCCTGGTGCCGCCGCTTCCGGGCCGACGTGTCCCGCCCACCCCCTTCGGAGCGAGTCCCCTCCCGCGGTTCCCCCCTCAGTCGAGACGACGGCGGCCCTCCCGGGCGCGTTCGCCCTCCCAGAGGCGTCTCGTCGCCGCGGCCGCATCCGCCTCGGGGGTCCCGTCTCGGCCCCCCGTCGAAGAAGAGAAGCATGTGAGAAGAAAAGTTTTCGAGGTCTGCGCGGGTTCATTGGATCGGCTCTGCACCCCTTGGCATCGCCTCCCGCGCTTCCCGTAGCACGCGAGGGGAGGCCAGCGCCGATGCACGAAATCCACGCGGACCTTTGAAAGTTTATGTGTGCGTTTGTTTATTCTTCTATTTACGGATCGTCAAAGAACGATTCAGAGGAAAAGCCGGCCCAGGCGAGATGTCGGTTGGGCCCGCTCCGAAGTATTCGAGGCCCAAAATGTTTGGGGATGGTGCGCTTGATTCGGCCGTCTTGCCAAGCGTAGGGATGGACAGGCTCCGCGCTGGCGTCGACCCGCCCACAAAGATCCTTTATGCAGGCGGAGTGCAGAGCTGTCGAAGCTCCCCTTGGCCCCTCCCATCAGTTACGATGCAACTCCTAGGATGTTAGACTTAGCATCGGCGCTGGCAGATTCGTGGTCGGTCTGATCCGGCATAGTCCCAACCCGTCCTGTATAAGTTCGTTTTCTCCGGCTCAATCTCGGACTTAATCGGGCTTACGTGATTTGGCTCAATGAATTCTGAATCGGGCTTAACAGCCCGTCAGAAGTCTTCCAAAATGCTGCATCCCAACCCAGCAGTGCGGGCAGTCGGCGCGCGGTGGATGAGCAATCTTTGCTTTCTCTCTCTTTCTCTCTCCTTCTGTTGCTGGCCCAGCGCTGCGCCCTCACACGCGGGGCCCCGCCGCACTCGCAAAAGGACCAT